TGGCTAATTTTATTAATAGAATTTCGACGTTGATCACCAAAAAATTTCGGAAAATACACTTCCCAATCGTTTAATGTTCGACTAATATCAGAAAAATTTTATCGGCTATTACTATCAATAGCCGATTAACCGTTTAAGGGATAGTATGTGTTACATATTTACATATCCCCCACTTTAAAGTTTTACTTTAAAAATTAGTGAAACAAATTATAACCGGATTTCACCGGCTGTTGTAGCCGAAATTTTTCTTCTGCTATAAAAACTTTTTCTGAGAGTATCACTTCCTAATACGAAAATGATCTTTGAGATTCAGCCGATTGACATATAAATAAAAAATTGGTTGTTGTCCTTGTAGATTTCGTAAAATCTTCTTTAAAAGTTGATCGATTGACTATTTTTACTTTGCTGATCATCAAATGACCAATAAGAATACAAGTTCGTGATCAAAAAATTATTTTGCGTTACCTATATACACATCTAAACTCGATAAGTCGGACATTTATTTATATTATAAAGTACTTTAAACAATTGATTGCCGCGTCCGACTTATTGAGTTTAGATGTGTACCATTAAAGAATACTAATACTCTGACCGTTTAAAGGATAAGACAAAATTTTTAAAATTGGTCAACAAATTATTATTAAAAACGGCCTAACAAGATAATTTGTTAATTATTATTATGATTTGGTTGACCCATTCTGCATCGTTATTGGTTTATAATGAATGGTTCAGCTTTCGAGTTTTGACTGCAATATTATATTAATATTAATATCGTATCAGCATTAGTATTATTAGTATTAGTATATTAATATTGTATTAGTATTAATATTAGTATTAATATATTTTATATGGATATCCGGATATTATTAATATCCAGATATCCTATCCGTTTATCAAAACTCTATTTGTTGAAAGGTGAGTTTTTTTTTGAAAAGATTGAAAAATGATAAGAAACACTTTGATTTTTTTAATTCATCCTTCCCAAAAAATTACGTTTAGTAAAAGTCGAGTTTTCTTGGTTCAGAAATATTCATTCTGCTCGCTCATTCGTTCTGGGAATAGAGTTCCGAACGGGTCAGGTAACCGGGTCAAATAACATTTTAAAATATTGAATCGAATTGTTGATTAATCACTGTGATAATTTTATAAGACAAATTAATTTTTGCAAAAATTTGTCATTTAGAGCGAGCCATTTAAGATGCCGTGTTTTAACACAACCTGAATATTAGTATCGGTATTACGTATTAATATTAATATGTAGTATTTGTATCAATAAAAAATTGATCCCGTTTATCATGCAATATGACTATCATTACCGCAAAATGATAAAAAAAAAAATGCAAACAATGTTGCCAATAAAGGGAATTTATTTCTTGAAAGATCTGTAATTTAGAAATTGTTTAAAAATGCAAATTACAGTAGAGAATGTTCAATTCAAACAAATAATTTTTTTAATTCTTCTTCTTATTATTATGAAGATCAAGTTGCCTTTTTTAGGGGACTGTATGTAGAAGTAAATCTAAATAATAAACAATATAAATGTTTTGTATATATAACCTCTGCACCTATCATATTTTGCTTTTTTAACTTGTTTTCCTAAAATGGAAAATCTGTGACAGATTCATTGTCAAACGTTAATTTTTTTTTAATAAAAATAAAGTTAAAATATTATGTTGTGTTTAATATATTTTATATTTATTTATCTCTCTTTTTTTCTTTACAATATCAACCGATTAATTAATTAATTAATTGTTAATTAATTAACATTCATATGTAATTTTTATGTGTGTAAAAATTTTCATAATATCACACATTTAAATAAATATTCACACATTCTTTGTTTTTCCCACTCAACCACACTCATTAGTTACTTTTTTCTTTGTATTTTATCTCTTTGTCGCATTCATTCACTATTTTTTTAATCAATTAATCATTAAATATTAAAAAAATTAACCTCAAACAAAGACGATAATTTACTTTTTTTAATTAAATTTACATATCCACATAATAACGAATATATCCTCTAACAACTAACTAAATTATCTCATTTCCATCAATACGTCAATAACCACCATACACCGTTTACCAATTCCATAAAACAAACAAACATCATAAAATTATATATAGAGATAATATCTTTATTAATGTTAAAAAAGGAAAAAGGATTTAAAGTTAAAGGAAAGAGATTTTTTTCCTAATCGACAACAATATAATAATAATAACAGTAAATAATAAGATGGTAGATTATATTTTCACGGTTTCAACATTCGTTTCCGTTATATTAATCTTGATTCCTCTAGGATTTCATATTCAATTAAGAAATTCAGGAGCAATATTGATGACAATGTGGATATCGATAACAAATTTTATTTTGTTTGTGAACTCGATTCTTTGGGCAGACGATCTAGAAGATAAAGCTCCTACCTGGTGTTATATAACGCCGCCCATTTATGTAGCAGCCCATGTTGGATTAATGGCTTCTATTACCTGCATGATTTATAATTTATATAGCTATGTGGAATATCCAACAATCATCACCGAGGTGTACAAAAGAAGGCAAATATACACTGAATTATTCATATCGATAGTAATGCCATTTGTTCTTACTGCGTTAGGATATTTAGTATTTAAAAACAAATATAGTATAAGACCTATATTAGGCTGTTTCTTACAAGCTCATAGTAGTTGGCTTTACATTTTATTACTTGGTATTTGGCCTGTTATAATCTCTGGAATTGGATGTTATTTGGCTGGTAATTATTTGCCTATCATTCATTATCTTTATATTATTAATATTATTGATTAATTAATTGGATAAATTTTTTATTCCTTTAGCAAGGACATCTTACACTATTTTAAAAAAAAGATTAGAAATTCAAGCGTTATTAACATATTGTGAATCAGGATTAAATGCATCAAGATTTTACCGATTGGTGCTATTTTGCATTACATTTTTAATCCTAGCATTACCAGCAACATTGCTTACAGTGTTAGGTAATTTGAATAATGGTCTGCTTCCGTACGATTTCTATGAAGTACATAAAAATTGGAATACAATTATGCGTTTTACTGCTGAAACAGGCGGCCTTTCAGTATTAGATTATGCAAAACCTTTAACTGGATTATTTGTATTTTTGTTCTTTGGGACCGGTCAAGATGCTATGAACAGTTATCGTAAATTTGGACTTTCAATAAAATTAGACAAAATATTCCCATGTTGTTTCCGGGAAAGAACTATATCACCGACGGATACTGGTTTTAGTTCAAGTTTGTATGTGTTGTTATTATTGTTGTTGTTGTTTTGTTTTTGTTATAATCGTATATGTGTTATACATGTTAATTAATTTATTTATTTATTTATTTATTTATTTGTTTCTTTTTAGTACACAAAATAATTCATATCCAAATTCACCAGCTTCGCCAAATTCCAAAACTTATAATGGTAAAATGATGACGTCAGTTCCAAGTACAACTACTAGAACAATAATGTCAACATCAAATAAATTATATAATAAAAATAAAAATAATAATAAGAACCCCGTTGTAAATTTCTTATTCGCGGATGGACATCGTACACCATCAGAACAAGCAAATTTTGATTTAACAAGTGGGATTAAATTCAATATTGAAGGGATTGACACAACTACTATAATGTCAATAACAAATCATCGCGATGATGATGATTTTGACTATGATCATAAAATTGTCAATGGCTATGATATTAAAAATAAGAAAACTAACGACAATAATAATGATGATGATTATGATGACATTATTGTTAGTAGTAGTAGCAGTAGCAGCAGCAGCAGCAGCAGTAATTATAATAATGATGATGGCAATTTAAATTATAAGAATTATTCATCATCTACATTGGCAGTTAATTCATCATATAATAATACAATAGTGGCATCTACCCCAACATCTTATAGATCACATTTTTATGAACGTAATGATGATAATCTAAATCATATAGATGATTTATTGGCGGTTTATCCACCTGACATAGCAATTTCAAGAAGTCATAATAGTAATATTGGTGAGGAAGATTATAATAATAACAATGCAAATTATCATAGAGAATCCGGAATCGATAATCTACCGTATTAATTAAATAGATTATTGGACGAATATTCGAGCGATAGATAAATAAATTAAATTATATTAAAGAAAAAACTTCTTTAATTTAGAATCGATTACTATTATTGGTATATATACGTTTTATTTATATTTATATGTATTAATTAATTAGAAATAATTTCATAGACATTTATATATATACGTGCACACACTGTTTTTACTATTTATTTATATACATACATATTATCATTATTATAATTTATTAATTTTTCTTGTATATTGTATATATATGTAAAATTGTTTCTTTTTTTTTTTAATTTATTGATTTTATTTTTTTTTTTGTGGGAAAACGAAAAAAAAATAAAATGATAAATAATTAATCGCAAGTGGAACATCATCAGATACTTTTGATATTGAGAATGTTTTTCCTGCTCAAGTATGTTTTAACAGCATAATAAGAATATTTTAATGGCTTTGGGCCAGGGTGCGAAATGTGTGATCAAAAATATCGTGGGAATGCCCGGTTTGGGAAAATTTTAACGGAAATCTTCAAAAAATATCGGATCAAAAAAATTTTCTTAAATAACAATAAATACTAGTAGTATGGTTTCTATTCAAGTTTGTTTGAATAAAATAATATACGTATTCCCATTGTTAATCCAATCTAATTAAAATAATTTTTTTTATCAATCTATTTTCCTTCATAGTCCTTGTATATAGTGATAATAATAATAAATATTGGGTACCAGATATTTTTTAAGTCATAGTACTGGCAACCATAGCAGTAGCAATATATAGATTGTAAATATAATTATTGTAATTTTATAATCCCTTAACGATAAGAATTTATTGCACCAAGTTGTGAATATTTTCCAAAACGAATAAAACTAATAATTCGAATAAAAACAAATAATTCGAATAAAACGAATAATTCGAATAAAACGAATAATTCGAATAAAATGAATAATTCGAACAAAGCGAATAAAACGAATAAAAGCGAATAAAAGCGAATAAAACGAATAAAATGAATAAAACGAATAAACGAATAATTTAGAATAAACGAATAAAATGAAGAAATTGTATTAAGTAAAAATTTTAATCTAAAATTTATACACCAGAAAATGGCTGATTCCCAAAATTTTTTATCGGACTGCCTGGATTTTATAATAGGATTTTGCACTCCGCTTTGAGCTCAAATATTTTTTATTTTTATTTATAACAATTATGTGTTTTTCGTTATCGTTGAATGAGATAAATAAAACATGTCTTATCGCTTATTACAATATTCATGATGATCATTTGATATTATAATTCTTAAATTTGCAAAGAGTTAATAAATTGATAATAAACTTAAGGAATCAATTTTAGGAAAGCCACACAAGCAAAGATGAGAAATTTAGCCGAGTGGTAATTTTCATTCCCTTAATAATACAAGTCTATTGAAAGGTGAACATGACCTCTTTGCATGTATAGGATAATGGTCCATCACCTTGTCATCCAAGTGGTAGTAAAAAAAAATTTGTTCCTTTTTTTGTGCGCGTCGTTACGTTGTACGTGTGTGTGTCGTTGCTATACGTGTGCTGTATGTGCTTCCAATTACAAATTGTAGAGTTCTTTAAAAACCAACCCAAAAAAATAAAATGAATAAATCTGACTGATATTGATCACATGCGTCAGATTTAATAACCTCCCCCTCTCAATCATGCAATTGACTCCTCGTAATTATGGAATTTTTTCTATCACAGGTGAAGGTGAATTGAACAAGTCGGAAGACTTTGACAAGCAAAAGTAAATTGGACCATTTAACTAATGTTTCTCTAAAATTAGCCAATAAACTACCTGCGAACAACCTCCATAACAATAATGCAATTTCTATGAACCCCAGGCCAGCCTCCCTGAAATAATTGCATCGTTGTATTAAGGTCATATTAGTCTTGTGTAGTTATGTTGCGAGGAATATATGAGAATGACTGTAATGGTTTAAATATTTGAGCAAAGTAATTCCATCCAATAATCAAACGTTGCATATCGAGTTGTTTGATGTCTCCAAATTGTCCAGATGCATGCAGTTTTCCGAGAGAAAAAGAGAAATAGTGAGAGAAGTAGAGAGAAGTAGAGATCTTCAATAACCGTGTTGCCTTTTTCACCTTTAGCGTTTCTTATAATTATTTAATATCAATGACGATAAAGAATCTTATATAATTACCTGTACATAAATTTTGCTCTACATTTTGATTTTTATATGATATTTAGGCTATCGTGTAAAAGAACCAAAACGATGATAACGATCACCTTCAAACTAATATTCTGAGAAGTTAGACAAAAATACTCTTGGCTACAATCAGATATTGAAGTAGCCAACGAAGAAGAACAAAAAGAAAATTCCGATAGAGGGTTAACAGCATTAAGAATCGCTGTAAAGAACTTGAGGAAAAGAACATGTGTAAATCTTGGAGTCTTTAATTTGAAAAATATGAAGCACTATTGTCACAAAATATATCGAAGGCATTATTGAGTAGAGCATATGTATGAATATAGTATCACATTCACATTCATATTCGTATTGCATTATGTTATTGAAATTATTTATTAATTGTTTTTAGTTTTTCTTTTTTCTTTCCTTTTTTTCCTAAAAAAAAAGGGACCCAAGTAAGAAGAGTTGATCAATTCAGGAACGAAGAATAGTTTTGAAATTGAAATTTTAGAAAATGAGGGAGATCGGTGGTGTGAACAATTCTGATGGGAGTATAATAATTGAAGGTGAACAGAGCGACTGAATGGATCGATTGAAAATGACCAAAGATGAAATACGGGAGCTAAAATATGGGATACAGGAATTAAAAAACGGTTTGAGATTGTGGCATGATAAATGTTTATTGAGTATGAGAGAACATGTAATAATCGAAACGAATCTAAAGAATGAAGAATATGGCCGAACCATTGAACGAACAAATTGAAAACTCTAATAATAACGTAATTAAGTTTAAAAATAGAACATGATGTGCATCCATGGCATTACAGACTTTTGGGGAATGTAGAATAAAAGGAGAGTATGGTTGTTAACGGTCTGGTCCGGTCCAAAACCGTCAGTCTAATAGGGCCGGTCCAGACTGAATGGACCACGGTCGGGACCGTGTCTGGTCTTAGGTATTAAAGACCGTTTAGACCGTTGAATTTTTTTTTCATAAAAGCATTTATTTCAATTTGCTAAAAAGATTACTCAATTCCAAATTATTAATACCTTAAAGTCTCAGAAGATAGCGCTCTATCTTTTAAAACTTTACGGTATATTCAAAAAAAAAAAAATATAGTTTTATATAAATCAAAATTCATTCACTGTCTCTATGAATCCTCATTCCTTCTATACAAATTTTTCGAAATATTCGTTTTGTTATTTGTTTTATATGTTTTATTCGAATAATTTGTTTTGTTCGAGTTGCTTGATTTATTCGTTATTCGAATTACTTGAGTTATTATTTGTTTTGTTTTTTTTTTTTTCAAATCATTTGAATTATTTGTTTTATTCGAATTACTTGATTTATTTTTTATCTGGTTTATTCGAATTACGTGATTTATTCGTTTTATTCATTTATTCGTTTTATTCGCGTCATTTGTTTTATTCGAGATTTGTTTTATTCGGATAGAAATCCTAAGTTTGGCTTCGGACCAACCCAACGGTCCGGATAGTTAACATCACTGATGGAGAGGAACTGAAAGAAATGCTGAACGATTAAATAAGTCAGTTGTAAATTCTAGCAATAATGTAATTATGAGATACGTGAATTAAGATGATACGAGTTTGTGATATGATAAATTTTCCGCTAGTGAGAGACTACGGAATTAATGAAGATGAAGATGAACTGAAGAATACAACTGAATGGTTGAATGAATCAATCAAAAATTCTTATAATAGTGAAATTAAGTTCAAAGGACGAAATGTAGAAATTAATAACTGATATAAATTTGAAATAACTTTTCTTTCTTATACACATCTCTATTATTATCATAAAATAATACCATCGATTCGCATTCAAAAATTTATATTCTTTTTTATCTTTTATCTTTTTAAACGAAAATCTTTATTGATTTGCGCTCGGACAAACAAAAAATAATGTTTACTGCATTTGTCACAATCGCATTCGTTAATTTAGTCACAGCGAGACTGAATATATTAATGATTGGTTTAAAAGAAGACACGATAGCAATAAAAAACGGGAATTCTTTTAAAAGAATAAATTTCATTTTATTAAAAATTATCCACCATTATAGTAAACTTCGTGTTACGTACACTCTATCCTTATTTTTTTAAAAAAAATTTCCATCCATTCATCCATCATCAATTCCGTAATTTCATTCGTATAGTACATGCATTCATTCATTTATTCATTCGTATTATTTTTCCAACTTTGAATCACTGTTATTATTAGGATAAACTTTCCGACCCTTTAGATTTTTTTTCTGTGGATTATAAGAAGTGGCAATGCTTTTAGCATCAAAGAGATCTTTTGGTTGTTTTTCAAGTACTGGTAAATCAACACTACGTCGAAAATCTTCATTGTTTAATATTATTGTTTGTATTGTACCAATTACTGTTGAGCTGATAAGATGTACTATTATTGCCTTTTTATTTTTCCACGATATTGATGATGAGTGGTTAATTAATTGATAATTAATGATAGTTAATATTTAATCAATCAGTCAATTAATTAATATAATAATAATTTAATAATAGTAATATTCAATCAACTAATAACAATCTTACTGAAGGCAATGTAATTCCAATTGGAAGTGAAACTAAAGTCAATGCACGGAAAAAATTGGCATATTTTAAATTTGGAGAACTAGCAGGTGCTGTCCTCAATCCAATCTTTTTTAGTAAATTAAATAAATATTAGTTTTCTTTACATTAATTATTATTATTTTCAATATACACATATTATTATTACCTCCATCATTACAAAGAAACTTGCAGTAGCAAGGACAGGCAAAACGTAATAAGGATCAGGTGAAGATAAATCTTGAAACCATAAGATACCGCCAGTTTTAAGATCTGGTACGTCAGCTTTGGAAATATTTCTTAAAGCCAAAAAAAAACAAAGTAGCGTTGGTGCTTGAACAAGTGCAGTTAGTAGGCCTTTAAATGGACTAACATTATGTTTTTTATACAAATCAATAATTTCCATCTTTAATTCTAATGATCTTGCTGGATTATTTGATTCTTTAGCAATTTTTAATTGGTCATTCAGTGCGTTGAATTCCGGTTGAATTTTCTGAAATTTTGCAACATGACGTTGTGAACTGATTAAAAAAGGTAAAAATGCCATACGTAATAAAAATGTTGCTGCTACTATTGTTGAAAACCATGATAAACCTGATGTAACATGTAATGTTTCTAGTAATCCTTCAATAAATCCTACTGGTGTAGAATTCACCAATCCCAATGCTTTCAGATCGCCAATTTTCATAGCTGTTTCAGTTAATACTGATATATTATCTCCTGCAACAGTAGATGATGATGATAAATCGATATTATCAGTTAATGGTTCGAAAGCCTCGTATAAATCAGAATTGGGATTTGAATTGTCATTAATATTATTTGCAATATTTTGATTATTATTAGATTGTAAAGATGAATTTGTTGTAGAATAAAAACGAAATGATTTTATTATTTTAATTGATTTAATTGATCGTTTTTTTGTAAAGAATTCATTCCTTATAATGCTACTATAGTTATTGTTACAAATGTTGTTGTTAATTGTGGAAGCAATAGCAGCAGTATTAGTAATGATGTTGATATTATTGTTGACATTGTTATTGGTTCTAAAAGTAGAAAATCCTCGGCATCTGTATACTATTATATCCAGTAACAATTTGTTTTTCTGATAAAATTATAATTATAAAGAAAACATGTCATTGTTAAAATCAAAAATTAATAATAAAAAACTCATTAAACCAAACCAAAAGTTTTAAAACCTTGTTAAAAAAATTGGTGAAAGTACTGTTAGTGTTGTTGATGTTGTTGTTGTTTAATCTTATTATGCTTATTTAATTAATTAAATAAATAAATAAGTAATAAACTTTGATGAATAATTAATAATTTTTTACATACTTTTTTTTAACTTGACGAAACATTTTTTATCAAAAAAAAAAGATTTTGAATTGCCGATCTCGAATTTTCAAAAACGCGCGTTAAAAAATAGATGTCAATATTCAAAAAAACGTCAATTGTGCATACAATATGTCAAGTATTGTCATACAAATGAACTGATTGAAACTATTAATGATATATCCCTATGTGTACATTCCCTATTGATATCGATATTTTTAGTGATTTAGTTAAGGAAAAATGTAATATTTTAACACATCATGTACCATCTATCATATTTCCGAATCAAAAGTTTTAATATTCTCAAACTATTAGGAGATGAAAAAGGGTATTATATGAAGATTTTGGTCATTATTGAAATGATTATCAAAGATTTCATATAAATCACTTTTAGTTGTGTTGTTTATTCATGGGTAAATTTTTGAGGTCATGTTATAAAATTTGCTTATTCATTTTAGTAAAAACCTTGTTTAGCTATTATAAAAATTTTGAATTTATCTGTTACCTCTATATGTATTGCTCTAGATCTTACTCCAAAGCCATTGATGCTACATTATTATTACTACCAATAATGTCATAATATTTCTTCTTCTATGTCACATCTTTCTCCGTTTCTTTATTATTTTCTTTAATTGATCTATTACTGAATTGCCTCCGATGCAAAAGCTTTTACCGACGAAAAACAAATCCTAGAAGAAAAGAGTAAAAACAACGATTCCCTTTCTTCCTTCAAGTTATTCACAGATGCCAATTGCCATTTCACTAAATAAAAAATCCGGATTCAACCCGGTCTGTTTGTTTTTATTTTTGTTTTGATTTATATCATAGGGTTGGTTTTTGCATATTTTATAATGAAACAAGAAGCCAAGTCCATGCCCAATCAACAACCTGCAAAAAAGTTCTCTGTTGAAAGTAAGCATTTTTTTATTTTATAAAATAAAATTTTGTATGGTTTTTTACTTAAAAAAGTATGGATGATAAAAATGTATGAACTTAATTAAGCTATAACTGATATATAAATTAATTGCATGTAATTAAATACATTACATGTGATTACTGGATTATTAAAAAATTTTTTTGTGGACAGAAAAATTAAAATATGGAAAAAAGAGAATATACAATAAACATGAAGCAAGCTCTAGTGGTAACAAATTATCGATTGTTATTTTTTATCAGAAAATGACTTAAATAAATAAAACTTTTCAATATATATAATATAAGGCTGGTGGTATAGCAGGAACAGCGGTTGACACAATATTATATCCATTAGACACGATTAAAACAAGATTACAATCAAAATTGGGATTATACAAAGCAGGCAGTTTTCGTGGAATATATTCAGGAATAACTAGTGTAATAATTGGTAGTGCTCCTGGAGGTATGATTATTATTATTATAATGACAAAATTTTAAGTTTTAATCCAATATTTTTATATTTTTATAAATAAATCTTTTATTGATTATAGCATCAGCGTTTTTTGTCACATATGAATTTTTAAAAAAAGGTTTAATAAATATGGAAGGAAATTCTAATAAATCTCATAATGATTATAAATTAAAATATTTACCATTAATTCATATGGTTGCTGCGTCAGGTGGTGAAATTGCAAGTATATTAATAATAACAATAATAACAATTACAATATTAATTCTTCTGATTAATGACCTCTTATAATAACATAATGATAATGATATGATAAAATAAAAAGTCTGCATGCATTGTCCGAGTTCCAACAGAAGTCATTAAACAAAGAATGCAAACTAAACAATATCATTCAACACTATTTGCTTTGAGATCTATATTTCAACAAGAAGGAATCCAAGGATTTTATCGCGGATACTTGAGCACTGTGTTTAGAGAAGTTAGTATTATATGCTATATATATATATATACACACTAATCAAATTAGAGAATATTAATAATAAGATATAGCAATAATAAAAATGATTAATTGCAGAATCAATGATATTGAAAATATGTGTATAGACGATGTATGGATTAAGTAAAAGGCTACAACTATACTTATATATATATACAATTTTATTTTATCATTTGATTATTTGATTGAAGAGATTTATATTTTCTATAAATTGTTAATTCCTCTATTTTCCCTCACATTCTCATTTCTATATTTATTTATTTTCTAGATACCATTCACCTGCATACAATTCCCACTATATGAATATTTAAAAGTTTTTACTGCACAAATTACAAACCGATCAAAAATTGAACCTTGGGAAGCTTCTATTTGTGGATCAATAGCTGGAGGTGTAGCAGCCGGACTTACTACGCCTCTGGATGTAGTAAAGACTCGTGTGATGTTATCGGCAAAAGTAATTAAATTCATAATTCCTTCTTCCACTTATTATTATCAATAATATTTATCATTAATTAATTATTGATTGATTGATAGAATCAAATTGTTCATAATTACTCTGGAGGAGTTGTTGATACATTCAATCGAATCATAAAAGAAGAAGGCGCAAGAAAATTGTTCTCTGGTATTGGTCCTCGTGTTTTGTGGATATCAATTGGTGGATGTATATTTTTAGGAGCTTACGAAAAAACAAAGAAAATATTATGCGAAAATAATATTTTGGAATAATTATAATAATAAAAAAATAAAATAAAAAGAGATAAAATTTGGTTTTATATAAATGATGTGAAATTGAAAAGAAAGCTTTTTAATGAGAATTTATAAAGCCTTGACCCTTATTCAGAAACTGCCATTGCTATTGCTGATGCATCAAGATTGCTCATCCATCTTTACCGCCTTCTCGAGAACCCGCACCTACACAAACCATCAATATATACTGGATAACACTTCTTCAGCACATTCAATAACGAAAAGATCCAATGGGAGTCTCTTCTAGTCAGGGAAATTTAACGAAATAATTGGCCATTCATTATATAATGTTTTCCACTTGTTAATTTTCCAAATACAATTACAACAACTTTATTGATATTCTTAGTTGCGTTGTTGCTATTTTGTTGTATATTAAATATTTTCAAAGGAAAAAAACTAGCTCTTTTCTCTCCTTTGTTAACAAATATTGCACCATGTGTTTTCGTTTGATTATATAATTTAATTTTTAGTTGTCTTTTTGAATTGCTTTATAAAGTCACCCAATAATCCTCTCCATCTTGAAAGAGTTTAGCAGTATAAATGATCTGGTAAATTATAATTTAACTAATAAATAAAATCGTTATTAACATTTGTTAACCTTGAAACATTTAATTAATTCTAATACAGCTTTGAGTTTATTGGCTTGTTAAAAGCTAATTTCTATTTCTACATCTCTCGATTTAGCTTGTTTGTTGTATCTATATAGTAAGTACTTTAGGAAGTGTTGGTGTGAAATGTTTGTTGAGGAAAATCCTTAACCGCAGTTAATATATTCGTCACGCCGTTGCAATTAATAAAATTAACACTTACTTATTATATACATAACTAGTGAGTGATGATAGTAAATTTAAAGCAAAAATGTCCTAATAGTAAAAATGTTTTAATAAAAACATTTTATCATCAATTTAAAACAAATTCGTTATTAAGAGGAAGAATAAAAATACCAAGAATTGATGATGAAATTTCATCAGAATCAATAAAATATATTGATGAATTTGGTAAATTTGTTGGTGATAAATCATTAAAATCAATTTTATCATCTTTTGATAGATCTAAATATTATTTGATTGAAGTTAGCAACAACATAAACAATACCAATAATAAATTATCAGACGTTAATAATAATAACTACAATAAGTCATCAACATCATCGTCTTATTCACCAATTTGTAAATTGATTGATAAAAAATCATTCAATAAGAAATATTTTAACGAAAATCAAAATTTAAGTAATGGCAACAACAACAATAAAGTTTATAAAGAATTAAAGGTTAGTTGGAAAGTTAGAGAGGAAGTTCTATCAGACACAATTGATAAAGCAACCGAGTTTTTAAAAGAAGGCTATGACTTGAATATTGTTATAAGTCACAGTAGAAGTGTGAATAGTAGTAAATTGGTTGATGTCAGCGGTGTGATAGAAAAAATTACAAATGGTATAAAAGATTACGCTAAAGTTGATGAAAAATCAGTTGAATGGACAGGTGGATCCGTCATTTTAAAGATGGAAAATAAAATTGCACGCCATGTAGATAGTGGCAAAAATAAAGGTGATATTGGGGATGAAGATGTTGGAATCTAAATCCTATTAAAATAATTAAACTGATTAATCAATTCCAGTTAAAAGCATTCATTATAACACTTTAACATTATAAAATTTGATAACCGAATAAATTAATGATTTTATGCATCATTGCTACTAAAAAAAATATATATATTATTAGATAATTATTATGATATTGAATCATTTATCTCAACTCTGATGCTTTTAGCAACTTTTTAGAAGTAGTTGTTGGTATTCTTCTCATTACCATTTTCAAGATCTTCAGCTGCTACTAGATGATAGGCCTGTTTATTATGGATTTTATTATCACACAAATTCAAAAAATATTCTACATGATACAAATAGAAATGTTATTGAATTACACACCGTCATGAGAATACATACAAAGATGAATCACAAATATGTGAGATGTTAACATACGTTTATATGTATATAATGTCTTAACTACTTATTTATTAACACTAGTATAAGAATGAAGTCTTGGCTTTTATGCGATCTAAGTAACATCTCTTTCCTTATTTTTCTTTTTCTGGTTAAAATCAACAAATCTTTTAAGCATGTCATTTGGATCAACTGGAGCTGGTGAATTATGTGAATTTGACAAGAACAGATATTTCTCAAATACTTTGTTACATAAGTAGTTAACATTTTAACATTACCAAAACCAATTAAAGATGTTACAGATATTTTTTCTAAAATTTTTAATTCATATTTGAAATTTTCTAAACATGATTATAATGTCTTATTTCCTTTGAATTGGTGGATGTGGAATCATTTTCAAAATTTTCATATACTGCAATTTTTTGTTATCTTTAATCCAATAAGCAAATGTATATATTTCCTTCCTTGTTAAATAGAATAACCAAGAAGTAATGGAATCCATACCTTGTCTTCTCCATTTACCGGATCAGGATCCATGTCTTTTGGGGGTTTAACCATAAACTATTAAATCATTATGCATTCCATTACATTCAATTGACATGAATAAAAGTACTTTTGAGTTTGTCGAGAGAAAATCTATAATGTTCATTATCTTCTACTAATGATTGAAACCACCAAATTTACATTTTGAAGACTACATCAAAATTTTTTTAACAAATCTTTATTAATTCTTACTATATAAATGTGTATTTTATTATTAAATAAATATTGTTTGCTGTGGGATGAGTATATGTTACCAGGGATGAGTTTCTCCAATTTTTATTCCCCAAAGGATTTTAAAAGAAAAAAATACTTTCAGTGGTTGCTTACTATACACCAGAATACGTATATGATTGCCTGAACGCATCTCACGTAATTTTACCTTTAGAAAATTGAGCAGGGTTCAACAAGGATGTCACTATTACTATTGGTTAAATTTATGAATTTCAAGGGAGGACAGTTTGATATCTTGGCGTGCAACATTCCTGTTGAACCTATCATGAAATAAATAGTAATGGATAAAAAATCATTTAAAGGGCTATCTGTGAGATAACAACTCCATAAAAAGAGGACCAATTCAAAATAATTCGGTGAATTATCCAAAAGAGTCATAATTTGACTTTTAGTCGAGAATCCTAATATTTATATGGCATATCATTGATAGCCGTAGAATGTAATTTCTTTGATAAAATTTTTAGCACGCAATACTTTGGCCATACCATATGCAAGCAATTAACGATAAAGGTGCAAAAGATTCCTTTATAAATAGATAGTTTTATTAAGCCATTATGAGAGTTTTAACTCTCTTTCAATATCAAGCGAATCTAATTATGGAAAATTCAATGTCAAATACAATTTTATACTATATACTTGATTCGACTATCATTTTAGATATACTGATACTGCTGACCAATCGCATTTATGCAATTTATTATCTAATCAAGCGAATCATGAATCACGCGTAACAGTGTCACATAGCAATTTACTATCTATGAAACACGCGTGATTAGAACTTTAAGATTAAATGAAAATTCTCCTCCAACATAAGTGTAACATGTACTATTTCCATTAACTCGTACCCATTCATCATCGTATATTAATGTGGTCAAAGTTTTTTCTTCAATTCCAAAATAAATAAAAATGTCAACTTTTACATTACCGATAATTGATATTTCTTCATTTACGACAACAACAAAAAAAACTCAAGAAGTTGATGAATTAAAATTAAAAACAGCCAAAGAAATTCATGAAGCATGTATGAAAACCGGATTTTTTTATATCAAAGGTCATAATGTACCGAAAGAAATATGTGATAATGTTTTGAACTTGGGTAGAGAATTCTTTAAATTATCACAGGAAGAAAAAAATAAACTTAGTATTTCTAATGAAGACTATAGGTAATTTGCAAAAGTAATAAAAGTAATAAATATTATTATATAAAAATAATTAAATTACTTATAATAATAATAATCAAACAATATAGAGGTTATCAAAGACTTGGAGAAAACGTTACAAGATATCAAAAAGATTGGCACGAAGTAAAGCATTTATTTATTTTATCTTATCTTTGACATATCTAATAATTAATAAATAAAATTTTATGTAGGCACTTGATTATTACAAACCTATTCCACCTACTCACCCATTAGTAATAGGCAATTTGCCATTGAAAGGTGAAAATAGATGGCCAGAACACCCATCAGAATTTCGTAAAGTATTTGAGGAATATATAGAATATATGAAAGATTTAGGGGCCAAAGTCATGAGTGCAATTGCTTTAGGATTAGGTCTAGAAGAAAATTATTTTGTAGAATATTTAGATGATTCATTTTGGTAATTAATTTTGTATTAGAATTAATGAATTGTGATTTTGGAAAAATAAAATAATATTATTGAGATTTATTGATTGATTGATTTAGGGTGATGAGAATTATCGGATATCCATCTCTTAGGAGTTCAAGAGGCACGGATAGAGTAGGATTTAGTTGTGGCGAGCATACTGGTATAATTATTATTTTTATCATAATTACTATATTGATAATTATGATTTATTAATTCATATTATATTTATAGATTATGGGTAAATTAAATTATTTCTCTGGTATAATTTTTAGTTTTAATATTATTAATAATTCATTATTTTTATTATTGTTGTTTGTAAAGTTGTCTAACCTTTTTAAACCAGGTAAAAAAATTTTTTATTACAAAAATATCAAATTATATGATTATTATTTATTAATTGATTTGATTGATTAGGATAATATTAAAGGAGCATTGGAAGTTAGAACAAAAAATGGAGATTGGATCCAAGCTGATCCTATACCAGATGCATTTGTAGTAAATATTGGTGATATGCTAAATGTAAGTAATCTGCTTTTTAATAATCATTAAAATTTAATTGAAAATCGATAATTAATTAATAGTTATAAAAAAATAGATTTGGACAAATAACTTATATCAAAGCACTTTACATAGAGTAATTCATAAAAGTGATGATTATCGAGTTTCGTAAGTTGTAACTAATTTAATGTAATGATGATAATCACTATTATTATATTTACTATTACTATTAGCCTTACTATTACCATTAACAATATTTTATTTATAGAGTTCCTTTTTTTTATGAACCAAATTTTGATGCAAAGATTAATCCAATTGAACAATGTCTTAAAATCGATCCAATTAAACATTACGATTCAGTAATATATGGCGAACATCTAATCAAGAAGGTAAAATTATATATAAGTCAAAATTATAAAGTAAATTATTTACTAATAACACAAATTTTTATTAAAAATTAATTAATTCCTCTTTTTTTAGGTGACTGTGAATTTTGAAGTCGCTTGAAATTATTATTTATTTCAAAATATCTTTTCTAGATTATATTTATTAATCATCACGTCATATCAGATGGATGAAAATTTATTTCTAAAATTAAAAAAGATTTAAATGATAACATGTAACCTTTTCATGAATATAATTAACCGAATTTTGGTTATAACTGTTATTATAGAACTTGCTGAATTTCTTTCTAGATGAGATCTGTTTGATGCTTAAAGTAAATGGATGTGTGTGATGGAAGACAAAAATTCTAGATTTTTTAGTAATTATATCATTGTTTTCATCTTGCAGCCTCTTGATGATTATATCTTTCACCCATCCATTTCTAAATGACCAATTTCAACTAATGCTCACCATAAAATTATCCGACCAATTATGCATTTGGTCAAAAAAATAACGTGATTATGAATCATTTTAAGCCACGTGAGAAAAAAATTACCAACTATTTATCAAATGACAAGCATAACTTTAAATTTTATTTCTAAAATAAAATAATTAATTTTAAACAATGGATCCTTCATCTCCAACTATTAAAAACTTTGATGCAATATCAAGACTCCAAATGAAAGAGCAAACAATTGATGAAATTTATGGTATTCCTGAAAATTTTCTTGAAATTGAAGTGCGGAATCCTCAAACGCATGGTATTTTTTTGAAAAGTTACAGAATTTTAGAAAATCATGATACAGTAACTCAATTATATAATTATATTTATATTATCTAAAAAAATAGGTTTTGGTCGTAAAATGTATACTGATTATGAAATTGTTTGTCGGGTCAATAACAGTTATTATATTATATTATAATGTTCAAATTATATATATATATTGGGAATAATTATATAATATGATCTTAATAATTATTTCTATATCATATACAATATATATATATCAATATATATATCATTCGCTTTCATTAATTAGACAAATCTTCCTACGTTTAAATTAAAACAATCATCTGTAAGAAGAAGATACAGTGATTTTGAATGGTTTCGTGATGTCCTTGAAAGAGAATCATCTCGAGTTAATATTCCATCGTTACCAGGAAAAGTCTTCACTAATCGTTTTTCAGATGATATTATTGAACATCGTAGAGAAGGATTGGAAAGATTTTTACAAATGTATTTATTTATTTACTAGAACAAGTTTTTCTTATTTTTGAAACCTGATTTGTTTTGCTTGTAGCTCTAATTCCCTAGACTTAAAAAGTAAATTAATGATTATGATTTGAGATTTTTATTAGAAGCTCGAGTGACTTACATCAGGGTCAAAAAAAATCAAGTCATTGACTTATTGATTAATTTTTTATTTTAATTTATTATTAGTGTCGCTGGTCATCCTCTTTTGCAAACTGGAAGTAAAGTATTATCAGCTTTTATTCAAGATCCTAATTTTAGTCAGGAGAACTATAGTTACTAATAATGATAATTATTTCCTCTTGATAATAATAATATAACTTATAAATATCTACATAAATACATAATAATTTATAGTATTTATTTATTATTTTGTACACACATTCCTAAAGTTTTTTCTTTATTATTTTATATATTGGTGGTGATGATGATTCAAGGAGAAATATTAAAATGGTTTTTTTATGTATTAATATATTAATCTGATTATATTTACCTATTAACATTATATTAATTAACAAATGGAACTCATATAATGAATATCCAGTAAAATCTCCTTGGCCAGGAGAGACTCTTGTTGGACCTTTTTGGTGTTGAGAGTGTGTTGTTGAATGTCTAGTATAAATTGACTGGCACTCATGGTTGGTGTAGGTGTGTTAGTTTTTGAAGCTGAGATCAGTCTGGATGCACCAGCAATAGCAATGGCAGTTGCTGAATGAAAATCCCGAGGCTTTGTAGTGTAGCCATACTTGAATGAAATGAATAATGGATCGATATGCTCAGCAGCATCACATACTTACACAAGTCTGTGAGGAATGATATCCACATCTTTGAGCATGGCCTTTTATATGATAATCAATTCCTATGCCAGCTATTCCAATTGGTACATTTGGTGTAGGTGATGATATAGATGATGATTTATCTCAAGCTTTTTCTGGTATGTTCACTTATATGATTTCTATCTACAGCACCAAGCATTGTACATGTTCTCTTTGTTTATTGCATCAATTCTTCAACTGAAACTTGGAACATTCAAAGTTCTTCGGATCTTGGCAAGCTCTTGATAGATGCTATGAGCTGCATCAATTTCTGACATGATCTGAGCTGCTTTATTGGAATTCTCCTTTTATGCAAGATCCTGAATCACTCACAGGCCTTCTTCTTATTCTCCAATTTTTTAAGAGAATTCTCTCAATGTTTTATTAGTTTTTGGGTATGTTGATATAGGAGCTGTAATTTTAAAGAATGTAGAAGTTTGATTTCATCAAGACAAGGAGGAGATGATATGATGTGTGTTGACTCTCTTCATCAATATACATACTCAGTACCACTGTCATCTTTAATCACAAAGGAAGGTTAACATGTGATTCAATCTCAGTAAAAGTCTAACCACATGCCTAGCTCATCTTGCACTAAAACCACTTGTCTATTCTTTCCTCAGCAATTGGTGACAAGGTTAAAGATATCCAAAATGTTCAACAGTAGAGTGTGACCATATTGAAATGGTAAATCTTTGGTTGTGACTTCTGTATAGATTTCTTTTTCTTTGTCTTAACACTTTTGAGAATATTATTACAATAACTTTTTTGTTTATATAACTGCCTAAGGAATGTTTCTTTTAGCATAATATTCTCTCACATCTCTCTTAATTCTTTACAAGCAACGTTCAAACTCTGGTAAGCATTCTTCTGTTTAACTGTGCCATTGGTTTTAGGATTCTTTACTTCCCAATCATCTTGATCCAGTGTCGGCAAATCTGTCCAAATGTCCAAATTGTCCAAATTGTGTCCAATATCTGGATCCAAATGTCTAATTAGTATTTGGAATTGGACATGATGTAACAAAGTCACATTGGCATATTTGGACAGTCCAATGTGTCCAAATTATTATATTAGGTAATTTGGACACAAACTGGATGCTTGCTGTTCTATCCAATGATTATGTTTAAAAGATGCATCATTCAAAATTCTTCCAGAAGGAGCCTTTCTATTTGGATCCAACCATTTGAAAAGGGACTTTACTTCTTCACTTGAAAGCCAGACCATTAGATAGAGTTATATGAAGCAAATGATTCTTCAGATTTTGTAGGAGTATGTAGCATAAATTCTCAATATCATATTTATTAGTATTATTGCTTTGAAAAGAATCCAAAGTCAAATTTATGATGTTTTTATTTAGCAATGTTGATGATGGTGTTGACATTGATGTGGATGTATCAGATATATTGTTATTACCTGAGATAAAAAAACAAAACAAAAAATCATTAATCAAAGAATGAGGTTATTTTTCATTGTTCTAATTCCAAATAAACATTATATTTTATATCATGTTAGAATTTAGAATTTTCAAATGTCCAAATAGCTACTGCGCCAATTGGACAAATTGGACAAGACAAATCCAATTGAAAATTAATTGGACATATAAAAATGCTAACACTGTCTTGATCATTTATCAACTGATCATTGTCTTCTGCAATATCCATATTATATAATATGAAACCAAAATAATTTTGACTGTTTGCAGATCTGGTCGATAAGATCAAAGTTGATTTTTACTATTACTATGTAATTGTTTTCAAGTTGACTTAGATTTTCAATTTCATACCTTCCAAGTAATTCGCACTTCAAGTGAAGAAATAATCAAGAATTCAAGACTGGGAGGTTTTTTTTGCAGTTTTGTTTGCTAATTGATAACAGAGTTTGCAGATCATACAATTTATTGGAGGTATTTTTTTTCTATTTTCTTTTCTTTAGACTAGCTTCTTGTTTAGGAGCAGAGTCAAAGGAGAATTTGCAAGAGATGATTTTTTATAAGTATGGCCTTTCCACATATTTTTAATTGAAATGACATAACGATCAATTCATATATGATTCATATGAGGATGGTAGCATTAAGCAGTAGATTTGGTAATTATTGGCAGATTTTTGATTTTTGATAATTACCAAATTTGGTTGGCACCGCACACTTGGGACCTCAATTAGAAATTTCCGGTCCTATTCACATTAATTAACAAAAGAAATTAACTCTGTTCTTTTAAAATAATAAATTAAATAAAATTTTATTTTATTTTTCAGCCTTGGTTTCAAGGAAATCATGATATATATTAATGTGTAAAGAGAAAAAACTTTATCAAAAAAAAAATATTAATGGAAGAAAAAAATATTTACAGTAATTATATATTTTTAAACCTGCAGATCCTTAATAATTAATCATGTATTTTTTTAAATAAAAATTATCAAATCATTCATATGTATATCTATTCATCTGTCAAGTTTTCGTCTTTTCTTAAAAGGTAAATGCTTAATTTCTTTTGATGCATTCTTTTTCCTACGTTTTTCAATAATGTTATCTAATTTCTTTTTATTATTATTAATTTTTTTATATTTATCAATTAATTCCAATTTATTTTCTTCGGCTGTTTGATTTTTTTATAAAATCATAATCATAATAATCAGATTTAGATATTATAATAATTAGAATAATATTATGATGGATCTTTATGAAAAAAATAACAAGTAAATAAATAACTTACCTCTTTTTAAGAAATAGGGATTCTTTCCTTTACCAACAAGTTCTAATTCTTTCTTCTTCCTCTCATTCTTTAGTTGTCTTTTATACCTATGATCTTGTTCTTTAATTAATTTTGACTTCTGTATAAACCAAACCCCCACAAAGAATAATTATTTATTTTGTATAGACATAATAATAATATTTGTTTTTTCAAAAAAATTAATTACCATTTTATCTAACAATTGTTGTAATTTTTGTTTTTCTTCAATATCCTTTTCTTTTTCAATTCTTTTAGAAATTTCATTAATCTCTGATTTTTTATATTCTTCTATAAATTCATAAGATTTTTCAAATAATCCTTCATTAAATTTTCCTGATAAATTGTCAAACCTTGGATCTCGATTTTTCTAATTTATCAATTAATAATAATAGTATTATTATTATTATTATTATAAATTGAAATGTGCTTATGATTACTGTTAAAATATTCCTTTTACCTTGATATTATTAGGAAGTTCAACAACTTGACGAAATCTTCCAACTGCTTTTTTGGATGTAATTTCCATTGGTCTTTCAATGAATAAAATAATATGTTATTAATATACATTTAATAAAATAAATTTAAAAAAATTTTTTTTTAAACATACCGATGTTTGCTTGATCTTTTTTTTGTTTCATAATTATTATCAAATCCTTGTTCTTCCTCTTTCTTTTGTAAATCTTTAAAGTCTTCCAAATTAACATCATCAATATCATCATCATCATCACTATAGCTATTGAATTGAGGTTTTTCTTCCATCATAATTTAATTTTCACGTAAAAATATTTGATCTGCGCATCAATTAAACAGCCAATGAGAGGATTTTTTATGGGTACAATGATGATCATTCAGGAGTTTGTCTTTTTAACCAACGTTTTGATGATTTCATAACATCGTTAATAGTAGTAATAGTAGTATATAGTAGTAGTATCAGCAACAACAATCCAAAAAATCATAATAATAATGCCACACAACTACCAGCACTATGTCATCATTATCGGCATTAATGTCATCTAATGAACTTACATTTCAATGTGCAATTCACGAAAAATGGACCTTGCTTCTTTTGTTCGTACGGTGATGTGCAAACTTGATTTTTTTTTCGCACAAGTGCGCACAGCGTGCGTAGTGTCAAATGAACATAGTGCACATGCATAGTGTATGTGTAGTAATAAAAATTTTCGCTTACTGTCCCACAAGGAAGTGCCCAAATATTAAAAAAGGATTACAAGAAAGAGCTATTACAAGTTTATAATGACAATGGATCCCATCGATTTTTTGAAAGATGGCTATAAGCATTCTGCATATTTTAACGAATAGTGACAATGTTAATATTCAGAACAATGACGACTCGGGCTAAATTTTTTATTTTCGTGGAGTATTATTAACAATGATGATAATAATACAATAATAATGATTCAATAGTGCATGGCAACAACAGTAATAATAATATAACAACAATTTTTGGTCAACGACAATAATAATAATAATAGTTCAATTAGCAACTATTAAGTTTAATAATAATAGTACTAATTTCAATAATAAAATTTGTTGTTGGACCATTATAATATTTTTTTGGTTTGCCTTTTACTTTTTCTTATGCATATATTAATATTTTTTCAAAATAATTAAATATATACGTCTTCACATGTGCTAATTTTCGGAGACTTGGATTAGATTAAAAATTTAATTTCACGTTTAAATCAACAAATTTTTTTTACTACAAGTATATATATATATATATGTATATTTTACTATCTAGTGCAGTTCCTGCACTTGTATTATTAAATAATCAATTAGAAGGCAATTCATCCTCTTCTTCTTCAAGTTCTGATTCCAAAGAGATTGAAATATTTGGTAAAATAATTGACAGAGAAGATTATTTAATCCTAAGATTAAAATATAATCCGATCCTGAATCATTCGTGCAACAAATGTTAATTCTATATACCCGAAAATTTGTACATGTGAAGACGCCCATAGTTATAATAAAATAAAATGAAGATCGATTGTTATTACATTTAAACTGGTCATTCTAGCTTATTATATATATAATTTCTATATTTTCATATAGGAAATTCTTGTCAATGACATTAAAAAGTAAAATTGGGGGGGTTTTTCAAAAAATAAATAAATGTTATTATCGGTTAACTTTTACTGGGTATGTCCAGTTTTAATTACTAGAATTTTCCAAATGCATCTTCAGCAAGACCAAAAATAAAAACAGTACAAGTAAATGTTTGACTTGTTGGAAACCTAGCCAAATCATTTAGAAAGGAGATTGCCTAAAGATAATAGGGATTTATTGTTGAAGAATGGGATAAAAATCCTCAGAAACCAGCACAAATTTTAATTAAATCTATGAATCTATTTTTATTTAGTAATTGTTAAGATATTCACGCGCCATTTTTTCGCAACACACTGTACAAGTGACTCTGGATATAAATACTACCGGACATAACGGCCACATAATAATAATAATAACGTTATATAAAACATATTTTGTTATAACGATAATTGGAATAAATTTTACTATGGTCCCGAGAATGTCGTTATATCCAGGATCACTTGTATATCAAATAAAAATATTGTTACACGCAAAGAAATCTAATTTTGGAAAAGTCTACGAAGGGTGTTTTACTCCCAACTTTTTTTTCAATGTTTTTTTGTATGAAAAAACTAAAACTCACAAAAATAATTAAAGAATCAAACATAAGGATAAAAGGTTATGCAAGTACTATCCAACTTCCTTTTCATCCACACTATGTCCCACCAGGTCAACCTAAAGTCACATCAACATCAACAACACCATCAAATATCATAATCATAATTAATAAGCGACAAAAATTATTATCAATAAATAAAAAAGTTTCAAGAACAACAATTTCTTCTCCTTCAGTAATACCAATATCGAATTTTAGTTTATATTATCAACAAAATTCACCAATAGGGATTGTTCCCTCAATTAATAAATTACAAGCAGTTGACGAAGCTATTACTAGCAAAGATTATTATTATGGATCTAATAATAGAAAAATCCCATTTTTGTTTAGATTATCTACTATATTTTTTATTTTCACAGGTTTAACAAAATTTTATAGTAAACGAGGAGAAAGTAAAAGTACTGTTAGCAGTAGTTCTGATGGTGATAGCATTAATAATGCTGGCGGTAACATTAATAATCTTAATAATATTAGTAATAATGTTAGTAGCAGTAGTAGTAGCAGTAGCAATAGCAGTAGCAATAGCAGTAGCAGTGGTGGGAGATGATGGATGACCTTATTTATGATATATACACCGGATACGAATATCATCATGATCAATTAAAAGTAAAAAAGTTTAATTTGTTAATATTTTTTAATTAATAAAAACACCATATATGTTGCTGCTGGTTTGGTTCATTACTAAGGAGTGAACTTGTTAGCGGCCATTATTATATTAAAGGTATAATGTATCTATATTATTTATTTATCTATTCATGATTATTTTTTTAGAAATTTGATATAACATATTATATACATATATATGTAATATTTCTAATTAAACTTTTTTTTTTGTATTTATGATGGGTTTTCTAGTTATAGATCTCTCACCAAATTGAGTTTTTGCATAATACAAATCTATATGATAAGGATTATAACTGGTGAAAAAAAAAACATAACATATTTTTCAGGGATCATCCATCACTCAATTACACTGTACCTCCCACCCTTTTCGCTAGAAAACTCCCTCATATATATCATTATATATATAAAATATTATTTAATGTTTGAGATGGATTTAACAATCACACATTAATTCATTCATACTTATAAATAATTACAATCATCCATATCAACATTCATTCAAAATATTTAAATATTCAATGAAATAAATGATTCTTTATTTTGAGAAATAAATATAATAAATCTAATAGGCTTTAAATCAAAAAATTAAGAAAATTTTTAAATTAATGCATTGTAAAAAAAATTTTTTATAAATTAATATTTTGGCTGTTTTCTTGGTGGTGTTGTATTACTGTTATTATATCCAGGTGAAAATGTTGAAAAATCAACTAGTTCACCTTCTTCAGGTCTATCAAGATCTGTATGTGGGCGGTAAATAATACTATTACCACTAGCATTGTTATTATTATATTCTCTATCATGAAAATCAATTCTACTAACTTTATCTCTATTATCATTATTATTCCAATCACGACCTCTATTGTTGTTATTGTTGTTACGACCACCACCACCTGAATAGCGATTATTATTATTTTCCCCACTTCCTCCAATTTTTTTATCTGAAATTCTGCATCCATTATTTCCAATTTCGTAATCACCATCTTCAATTTTATCATTTTCAGCACTATTATTGTTGTTGTTGTTGTTGTTGTTGTTAGGTGGTCCAAAACGATCTCTAATATCACTTGTACTCCAACTATCACGTCTAGTAGCTCCTTTCCGCTTATTATTGTTGTTGTTATTATTTGAGCGAGATCGGTCACTGTTTTGTTGTCTTGAATCATTATTATTACCATTATTAGTATGACTGCTATTAGTATTTGAATTACTATTATTGTAAAATGATCTGTTTGAATTTCTGGTATTATTATTATTACTACCAACAAATAATTGTTGTTGTTCTTTATCATTTTCCTGTTTTATTTTTGGTGTGCCTTTTGAAGAAATAATAGATTTAGAATTGGAAGACATGGACAAAGATATTTGCATAGACTCTTCTTGTTTTATTTTTGTTGTTGATATATTAGCAATATCGCTAGTATTAGTAGTGGAGGTATTAACAGCAATAATATTAGTAGCATTAGTTTTTGATGTAGATATTGATGAATCATATTGTAGTGGCAACGATGATGATATTGACAATGTTGATGTTGATTGTTGAATTTGAGTTGGTTCGATAGGTTTAAAAGTGTTTAAATCAATTTCAACCCGATCTTTAGTCATTGGTTTCTTTATAAATTTTATTTTAGAAGAGAAAATAATGATATTAATATTATTGAGTTTATGTGAAGAGGCAAAATAAATAATATTTACAAATATTGAACTGTTTCCATTGTTTTCTGATATCCACAGAAAACCACTCATATTTGGTTCTTCAGATTCCTTATACTGCATTGCATCCCTAACAAATAAATAAATTAGCACCATACTAATAATAATATTATTATTACAATAACTTACCAATCGACAATCTTAATTTTTCCATAGTGGCTATTTACAGTTAATTCCAGTTTATCATCATGGACTCTTGTCTCACTATGTATATAAGCATATATATATATATGTCAACAAATTTAATTAAATGAATTACAAAAAAAAATTATTCATAATTGTACTGATTGAATAGATTTACCCATTATAAATCTGAACAACATCTCCCTCCCTAAAATGTTGACCTTTATCCCAGATTACTAATGTACATGTTGCAGTTTCATCGGCTACTAGGAAACTATGTATCTCAACATCTGAATTGGTTTTTAGTGTACGTTTTGAAACTAATGTGTAATTATAATATTAGCATTAATTAATAATTCAAAGATCTTTGTAACTAATCTGTAAATTATTTGAGCCTCAATTATTCACCATCATTTAGTTTACTTACTAAGCTCTAACAGTATACATTTAATGTCAAACCCTCTAACCCAAGGCCTTAAATCTACTATTTTTATATCACCTGACACTATAATAGGTGCTGGTTTATTGATTTTATCAGATCTGCTAGATTGTCCATACCTATGTGGTGGTGGTTGTGGTAATGGATTAGACATTGTGCCCGTCGATGTTGTCATTGAGTACTTGTAACTGTTACCGCTGTTACTACTACTACTACCAACATTGTTATTGTTATTTTTATTGTCTGAATTCATACTATTATTATTATCTGAAATTTAAAATTTTTATTATCACGTGTTTTGTGGAAATCGTCAAGTCAGATATATACCAATCGTGGGACATGTCAAGAATTTATTTCTACTGCAAAAACAGTGAATTTTGATGATCGGCATCGAATTTTTCATATAGTGCCGGTCACAAGTACACATCCAATAAAAATTGCCTTTCTAAGAAATGATATTCAGCAAAATAGAAAAAACATTTTGAAAAAATAACATCATCATTTTGTTTATTTTAAGTAAAGCTATCAACTGGCGATTAGATTTTGAACATTGGTCACACAGAGCCTGAGTTATATCGGTTTAAAATTTGGGTTAATTTACTATGTTTACTATGTTTGGAAGGCCAATTTGAAACATGAAATTTGTGGCTGAAATTACCATTTTTAGCAAATAAAAATTTGATGTCACCAAAAAAAAGATTTCGCGTCACGAATTAATTTTTTTTTTTTATAAATTTTTCTTTAAACATGGGAAAAGTAAAAAAAAGAGTCCAACATCTTCGTGAAATTGCACAGATCCCTAGGAAAAATACCTTTAAGAAAGGTAAGTCACTATTTTCACAAAAAAATGATTTAGTTGAGTGGAATGAAGAGTTTTATGAAGCAGAGTATCAAGAAGAATATGAAGAATCAAGAGTGGAATTAAGCTCTGATGAAAGTGATGTGATTGAATGGGTTGATGAAGAAGGTGAAGCCACAATAGAGTCACTTTATGAAAAGCTCATTGATAACATGCAAAAGCTTCCCAAATCAAATCGCCCAAACATATACTTAAAAAAATCTAGAACCACATTATACCGTAATAAAAAAGGAGGAGAAAAAAATGCAAAGGAAAATGGTTCAACAATGCTTGACTACTTTCATTCAGAAAAAGATGATTACAATTATGATTCAGGTGTAGGAAAATATGATGTTGCAATAGAAAAAATAGAAGAAACATTGAAAACAGGTAAAAAGATTACACCTGATTATAAACTTTGCCTTAAATCAGTTCAATTTTATTACAAATTGTTGAAGAAAGGAAAACCTAAAATAACAGCAAGTAAGACTGTGGCAGATATTCTTGATAAAGGTCAATGGTTTGCTAAATGTGTTCGAAGTTGGGGAAAAACCTATTTTACAACTAATCAGGTTCCAAGAAGTAATCGTGGACAACACTTTTGCAAATCTAGTTTTCTTTATGATGAAGATGTAGAAGCTAAAATCATTTCATATTTTAGATCAAATAAATTTAATGTTACAGTATCTAGCTTGTCAAAATATATTGAAGATGAAATAATTCCATCTCTTGGCATTGATAGAAGAGCAAAAATTGGGTAATGATTATGATATCTTTGATTTTAATTTTAGATTATTTTTAAATAAATTCATTTAATTGATTTATTTATAGTGAAAAAACAGTTAGAAGGTTGCTTAAGAGATTAGGTCTTGTTTATTCAAAATATAAAAAAGGTTTATACATCGATGGCCATGAAAGACCAGATGTGGTTGAGTATAGAAAAGTATTTTTAGAAGAGATGAAAAGGTAATTTGATTAATTTAATTATTTTAATTAAATGCTTTGAAATTTCTATTAAAGCCTCAAATCAAAAATTTGATGCAGAAATTCAAATTGATTGTGGAAACTGGTTCATTAATTGCTAAAAATAAATAGATATAATGGTTAAGGTGATATTGTTTTTATGTAAAATTAATATTTAAAAAAACTTACTGAAATATTTTTATAGTTTGGAAAATTTCATGCCAGCATTCACAGGTGATGAAATGGACACAAGGATTGATCCTGATCTTTCAGAAGGTGATTCTCTTCACATTTGGGTTGCTCATGATGAAACTGTTTTTGAATCAAATGATGGAAAAAAAGAAGGTTGGCACCCTGTCAATGAACAACCTCTAATGAAGAAGAGTTGTGGTCGATCATTACATGTGAGTGATTTTGTGACTGAGACTGTTGGATGGTTAAGACTCTCAGAAGAACAAAAACTAGAGGTAAGTGATAACATGCCACATGAAGCTCGTATCATAATTAGTCCAGGAAAAAATAATGATGGATGGTGGAATTTGGATCAACTTATAAAACAGGTAAATTTTTTTAAGTGTCTAATTTAGTATATACATAATGATTAAAAAATTTTATATTATAGATTGTGGAACATGCAATACCAATCTTTGAGAAAACCCATCCTGGAGCCATTGCAGTATTTGCCTTTGACAATTCATCTGCCCATGCTTCACCTGCAAAAGATGCTCTTGATGTAAATAATATGAATTTAAGTGATGGAGGTAAGCAACCACTTAAAAGAAGCACTTTATTTAATGGACAAGTTCAAAATTTAGTGGATTCAAATGGCCATGCAAAGGGAATTAGAACTATTTTAATGGAACGTGGTTTGTGGCAACCACATCTGCGGCTTTCCTGTGGTAAAAAAGGAAATATAGATGAAAACCCTTCCTGTTGTGCAAGACATATTCTTGGTGCTCAAGAAGATTTTTGCCAACCAAAAAAACCTTATTTGCAGGAAGTAATTGAAAATTTAGGTCATAAAGCCATTTTTTATCCCAAATTTCATCCTGAGCTAAATTTTATTGAGATGTGCTGGGGATCAGCAAAGAGATATGCCCGAAATAATTGTGAGTATACCTGGAGTAGCTTACAAAGGAATGTTCCTATTGCTTTAGATTCTGTTAGTTTAGTTGAAATGAGAAGATATGCACGAAGAACAAAAAGATTTATGGAATGCTATAGAAGAGGTTTAGATGGAATCCAAGCAGAATTTGCAATGAAACAATACAAGTCACATCGTTCTGTTCTAGAGACAGTATATAGAGATGTGGATAGACAATTTGAGAGTTAAAATTTTTTCCTGATGTATATATTAATATAAAAAAAATAAATTTTGTTTATTGCTTATTTTGGAAAGATCATCAAAATTTTAAAATTGAAACAATTGGATGTGTACTTGTGACCGGCACTGTACAAGGACAAAAATCAAAATCTAGAGGAAACTATGCTCCTATATATAATTTTCCCTGAAATATCCTTGTACCTTTGTACCAACCCCCTTATTATACCAGGAAAGTATTAAATCCATATCTAGAACATCAAATTCGATATTAGGCTGGTACAAACTGCCCTTTTGCCCAAGTTATAACCAAAATTGTACCAATTTCCTCTATACTTCCTGTGTAAAAAAACGAATTGAATTAACCCACATTATAGGTATCATACAAAAAAATTTATTCGAATACCTCAACCAAAATTAAACAAATCCAATATTAGTATTATTATCAAAAAATGAGTACACAAAGTCAACTCCCAGTTATTCATAGGAGACAAAGTCTCGAGTCTCCAACTCACCCATTAGTTATACCCGAAATTCTTGAAAATATATTCAGATACCTCCCTACAACAGCATTGGTTAGAGTAACCTATGTTAGTAAACTATGGAGATTAGAGGCCAGAAATAAACTTTATCAAAATCGTAGTGAAATTATATATGATTTCCATAAGTGGTTCTTGAACACATTCAGGTTTAAGTGGGGTATTCCTCAACAATTAATGCCAGATTTTCATGTATCTATTGCCAAAGCTAAAAAATTTTGAGATACTTTTCAGTTAAATATTAAGGCAGAACTACTTATTATAAGAGATCAACTACAGGATAAGTATACATCTATGGCAGTGGCATATAAAGAAAAAAATCAAGCCTGTGTAGAATCCCATGAATTATTTCGTGTTGATCCAGGAAATATTGTAAATTATGCTAATTACCAAAAATTGGATAGAGAACGAATGCTTATTCAACATAATAGATTCAATTTACACTGAGAATTAGTAAACTTTGAGTATTATCTATTAAGAATGAATATCATTACAGACCTTGATGAAATTGACATCATTATTGATAAATGCACAAATCTTCAGGATGAGGAGGAAGAAATGATATGGGTAGAACAATTCTCAAATCCCAGTAATATTTATTCTGATGCTGATTTTGATGATTCCTTTAACTTTTGGGATGATCCCAATTCTGATGAATTTATGAATGAACTCTTTAATGAACATGACCTGACCTAATAAGGTTTTTACTACTTCTCTGCCATAATCTTCTTAGCGAGTTTTAAGGCCTTCTTATTCTCTTTGGCCCTTTCCTTTTTTTCCTTAGCAATAGCTTCTTCAGCAGGAGTCTTTAATTTAATCGATCCATCCTTAGATACAAAAGTATGTTTATTAGTACCACAAACAACACATTTGCCAATTAATTTTTTTCGACCACTTTCAGTAGTTTCCAATCTCTCAGATACAGAATTTGTTTTGGCATGGCATTTAACACAATAAGTTTGAGCCATCTTTTAAACTTAAGATACATTATTTCAAATAGACACACAAATGACATCACTTTGATTTTTCCGAATATTCTCAATTGCACTCAATCTCCCTACTAACTCATCTAATGAAAGGTCCAATCCACATATTCTGGCTTCTATTTGGTTATCAGGTGATAATCCATGAAAGAATCGATGTTTAAGATGATCTTCATTATATCCAACTGATTCATTACATTTTTTTTACTTTTGTGTAAAAATCCATTATCGAACTCTCCTCTTGTCTCAAATCCCCAAATCAAAACTTTTGAATATCAGTAGGTCCAGTTGAGATTCTATTCAAGTGATTGACTATCTTATTTATGGGTTCATTGATTCCAAACCGAATTGTATTTATCTTGTTCTCTAGTGATAACCCAATAAAAAACTTTTCTTTGATTTCCTTATTATTTATATTGACTCCCAATGCTATAGCATATGTTTTTATCATTTTGAAATACTCATCTATTGATGAATTGCATTGAGTGGGTGCTGGAATATCCCTTGAACCATATTCTGAATAAGTTTGAGCCATCTTTTAAACTTAAGATACACACTTTCAAATAGGTTTTCAAAATGTCAACACCAATAGATCGTTACTATAAACTCTTTTCATTATCTGGAGTGTCTCCCAAATTATTAAAGAATGAGGAACACTTCAATCTCCATGTTAGACCAAAAAAAGAGAAGTGTTCAGAACAACCAAAAGCAATTGTCTGGGAGGCTAATGCAGTACAAGATTCAGATTTGCTAGAGTTACCAATGGATATCTATATTCACATATAGTTATTGATGTTTCAACTCGGGATTTGGATGGAAATCCACTCAAAAGTAAAGATGCCAAAACAGTACTAGATTCATTCAAAAGTATTTATGAACGAGGTCATGTAAAACTTCCTACTTTCAGAGTCAACACTGATACTGGAAAAGAATTTGATAATCATTTATTCCGAGATTTTTTCACAAAGGAAGTTAAAGTGCTAACAAAATTTGGATTTCCTGGAAAACATAGACAGCAATGCTTTGCAGAAAAGTTCAATCAAAAAATACAAAGGCCTATCTTGGAATGAATGAATGCAGAGGAAATGTTAACTGGAATAACTTCTGTAGAATGGTCCAATGATTATCCCATGCTGATAGAGGCTATTAGAAAGGAATGGAAACGTGATCCTCTTCCTATTCCAGAAGGTCTTCCTAAAATTTCGAATAAAGATGATTTACTACAAGAAGGAACTCGAGTTCGAGTTATGTTATTTGAGCCTAAATCTGTACTTGGACAAAAATTACATGGCAAATTCCACACAGGTGATATTAGGTGGGATCCAGAAATTCAAGTAATTAAAAAACTTATATTAAGTCCTGAGCAACCACCAACATATCTTGTTAATGGCCCTCATGGCAAGTTGGGAGTATCACGTTGTGCATATACTAGAAAACAACTCCAAGTAGTTCCAGACAATGAGAATCCCCCTCCAGATTCAGTTATTCATAGTAAACAATATAAATTCATTCCCGAAAAAATTCTTAAGCAACGAACTTACAAAGGTAAAAAACAATACCTTGTTAAATGGCACTGATATCCTGAGAGTGAATCAACTTGGGAACCAGCAAATAGATTTAAAGAGGATGCACCTAATCTTGTAAATGAATTTCTGGGAGTAAAAAAATAGCAGAGCTAGCCGGCTAATTATATTTCAATTTTTTTGAAATGCATATATAACTAATGATTTAATGCTTCCAAAACTGGTGAATTCATTTTTTTGTGCTCATCTCTTGCTGGAATTATAGGGATAAAGAAGTCCTTTCCATTACAAGTAATAGCCATATGCTTTCTAGATTCAAGTAAATCATAGTTATATTCTCTAAGACGAGGTCGGTTCAAAATAAGCTCATGATATGG